CTTTGTAGCTAATGTGTCTGGAGTGGGTCAGTTTTCTCTTTTCTCTCTGGAGCCTGTTCAAAGAGAAATGGAAAGACCTCAGCTGAACAGCATTTTTCATACCAACCTGCTCATTCCTTTGAATCAGTAGCACTATTTTAATCATAATTAGAGGATATGTTCAGCCAAGAGGAAAAAGGGGCAATGACTGGGAACTGGAGAAACAGAAAAAATACTTAGAAATATATTATAAGATTATTCAGATCAATTAATCCCCCCAAAGAGACCATTAGTTCTCCAGCAGACTATGGAGCATTCATGAAATAAAGGCAAAGTCATACTGCATTCAGAAGCACAGAAGCATGAGGCTCCTTGAGCACTAAGTATTTCCTGTTGATATTTTTCTGCTGTGTTTATCTCCTATAGCACCATGTGGGTGTCTCTATTATGTTACTTTCCACCATCACTGTGTGTAAACATGTGTGTTTCATATATATTATATATGCATACACATGTATGTATGTATATGTATACACACTACATTGTATAGCACATATATTGTACTACACATATATGTTAACACGCTTTGCCTTCACCATCCCTTTGTAAGCTCTTACTTATCTTTCTGTAATAACCCAGCACTGGGTTATTTGTTTCTGGTAAATAAAAGAATTAGTGATTGCACAAATGGTTGGACATGTGGGTGAAATGTTTAGGCAAAACTCTGCACAGTTGAGAAAGAGGATGAATTTGGTGTTGTCATGGCAGGTAAATCTATGTTAAAGTCAGTTTTCCTTTAACATTATGTTTAGAAGACTTTTTACAGCATTCATATGTTTCTTCACTCAATGAATATCTTAAAATAAGTACTACATTCAATGTAGTCTGCTAAATAATGGGAATGTAGTAGTAAAACTAAAAACTGCTTTGTTATCATAGTGTCATCTTCTAGGACATGTCCTTGACCCAAAGTCTATTTTATTTTTAAAAATTTTTTAAAGATCTTATTTATCTTTAGAGGGAAAGGGAAGGAGAGAAGGAGCGAAATATCAATGTATGGTTGCTTCTCATGTGTCCCCTGCTGGGAACTGGCCTGCAACCCAGGCATGTGCCCTGACTGGGAATCGAGCCGCGATACTCTGGTTCAAGGCCCGCGCTCAATCCACCAAAGTCTATTTTAATATTTCATTTTCAAAAAATATAATCAAAGAGAACCTTTACTTGGGCTGCTGTTTAAAGAAATCCTCCCTCACACTGAGCTCCCCAATTGCTCACTGTTCCTTAAAGTTTTGGGGCCTAGTGGTATTTTCAGTCCTTTCAATTATAATATTTACCATAAGTTTTGGAGATTTGGCAGAGGCTACCTTCTCCCCAAGAATAGAAATTAAGAAAAAATAATTTTTCTCAATGCTACAGACAGACATTACTGATTTTCTGCAAAATTGTAGCAGATAAATAAATTCATTATCTCCTATCCAATGTAGATGATCTCTGAAGAGCAGTATATTAGATGGATACACTTTATTGAATACTTAAAAGAAATATTCTCCATACTTTCCTTTAGAACAAGGGGTCATAATGGCTTTAAAATAACAAGGATTTACAAAGATAAAATTTTTAATCTATGTAAAAATATTTTTAAGACATTTCCTTTAAGAGACCATAAAATTAAAAGCTATTTGTCAGGGGTGGTTGGAAAAGTGAAGAGGTTGTGTGGGAAGCAATTTCTTGCAATCCTTTCTGGCCTAAAAATAGTTACATGGACTGATGGGAATTTTACCTAATATTTTTTTAAACTTCCATTAACTCATTGTTTTTAAGACCCAGTACTGTAGACCAAACAATATGATAAAGAATATGTGTATTAATATTTGAGGAAGAAAAAGACTTCCTGATCTGAAATGGAAGTGTTCACACATGGTAGGAAGTAGAGGCAGAATGATATATTGAAAATATCTTGGAACCCGGGGTTCAAAAAACATGCATTTGTGTCTTGGCTTAACCACTTGCTCAGTGGTTTTGGTCTAATTACATAAAACCTCTGAGCCTTTGCTACTTCACACATTCATTGAAGATGTGACATTCACTGTGTACTACCTGAGTATTGCTGCAACGATAGCAGAGATAAAGGGGATAACTGGATAGGAACATGTCTTGGTGAACTTCATAGAACTAATTGTACAGACCTTCAAGAAGTCTGGCATTAATGGAAAAGTGAGAGCTGTGCCAAAAGCTCAAAGAACGAGAACATCTTCTAGGATGTTGTTATGGGTTGAACTGTGTCCTCCCAAAATTCATACACTGATGTCCTCTTCATTACTTCAGGCTGTGATCTTATTTGTAAATAGGGTTATTATGTAATTAATTAAGATAGAGTCATACTGGAGAAGGTGAGCCCCTAATCCAAAATGACTGTTGTTTCTGTGAAAAGGGAAAATTTGGCACAGAGGTAGACATACATAGAAGGTAGAAGATCTAAAGAGACAGACACAGGGAGAAGATGGCCATCTACAAGCCAAGGTGACAGACAACAGCAGGATGGGGGTTACCAGAGGGAAAGGGGGGCAGGGAGGTAGCAGAGGGTAAAGAGGAGTAAATTGTGATGCAGGAAGACTTGACTTTGGTGGTGAACACACAATATACAGATGGTATATGATAGAATTATACCCCTGAAACCTTTATAATTTTATCAACAGATGTCACCCCAATAAGTTCAATTTAAAAAGGAAGAAAAAATATAACAGACCCTTCTCTGACAGTCCTCAGAAGGAAGCAATCCTGCAGACACCTTGATTTCTGACTTCTAACCTCCAGGACTGTGAGACATGACATTTATGTTGTTTAAACCATCCAGTTTGTGGCGTTTTGCTATATAGCAGCCTGTGCAGACTAATACAGACAGAAAAGCATAAGCTGGTCTATAGAATAAGCAAAGTAACCAAGAATTAAAAGGATCTTTAGATTTCATTTTATTTTCCTCATTTTGATCCAGTGTCTGAACATAGGACATGGCTGCTACCTAATAGTGAATGACTGTACTATTTTGAATGTAACAAAACACCTAAAGTGGTCTCACTACTATTTTTGCTTAAGATACATAATTACTGTGCTATAATAATACAAAAGTAAAAATGGCAGTGATTTAAGACTAACAACATGGGAAGAAAGATTTACAAATATGTAAAAAAATAATTTTTAATTTTCATGTCTATTAGTATATTTTGTAGAAAGTGAAAACTATTAATATTGCAAGAAGTGTCTTAGAGATAAAATCAGTTTCCTTTGCCCAACTATTCCTACTACTTATTGCTTCCCATAGGGCCTCTGTTGTGGTATCTGTCCTTTGCATATATTTTTACACAGGAAGTAAATAATACATTAATAAATACCCACCATCCCACCTTCAGTGTTTTAAAAGGCTATTACCTCTAGCAGGTCAGAGCCAGTTATAGCAGCTAATTATCATTCTATGAACAACAATAAAACAGGAACAATAAAGGTCATATGTTCTCCCACAAGGGCACTCCCATCACTGGTCACCGCAGCTTTGACTGCCATCAGTAATGAAGAGTGGCTGCACCAGTTAGGTATGGTAATTCCAAGTTCAGGAGCCTATTGAATGATGCATTTGTTTCCCATCAAGGCACCTAGCACAGCATTATAGGAAGTTAGAGTTTGTTATTCCCTCATACATCAAAGTCTGATTGCCAGTGTTATATTATTGACCTGTCCAACTCCTTTTTCATGACTGATCACTTTTGCCACCCAAAGGATTTTCCTGTTGCCCTGTGATAGCAAAGTTCTCAACTGTTCTTTGAAAATTAAAAGTCCCCTTTATGCTTTTCCTGAGCAAATTTTGATTTCATAGGAAGTAGGGGCATCCAGTACTGTAGCAGATGCTGCTTTTGCTACCTTCCATACCTCCCCCCTGCTCTGTTACCAAAGGAAACCCCTACTTTGTTTAGGATTGTAAGACACCCATCATCACATTTAATTTTCCAAGCCACTTCGTAGATTATCAGTAGCTCTGTGATCTAATTCTGACCCATATATAATGGAAGTGCTGTCTTTCCTGGAGCTTACAGAAAGTGTTTTTCTTATTTAAAAAGGACGAATCATTCACTCTTCTTTTTTTGTTTGTTTGTTTTTTCCACTGGCCATAGCTGGGCTTTTTTTTTTCCTCCTGGTATGTGAACAGGATATATGGTAGAGGAACAATGATTTTATGAACATGAAAATGGAAGTACTAAGTTAAGTTGCTGATGGCTAGGTCCCTATGGCATTTCTCAGAGCCAAGCTATTGGCTCTGGTCTGGTTACCTCTGAACTTCTTAAGTGAGAAAAATTGTTCCCTATTACATTTAAGGCACTGGAATTTATGTGGTTTTCTCCTACAGGCACAGGAATGCAATACCAAAGGAGTTCACAGATCCAGAATAGCTGGCCTCTGTAATTGTACTTTGTGTTAGGATAATGAGTTTTTCCACCAATCAATTTCAAGGTTAAAATATTCTATTTTAAAAGTTTAAGTTGGAGACTTTGGATTACTAAAAACTGCATACGTAGAGAACTGGGTCTGTTGTCCTCTTTCCTTCTTCAATTAATCGTGCCACCAAAAACTTTGACAATACAGATGACATAGAGGGTGTCAGGTCTATCTAAGTACATCCCACTCCCATGGTGTGCTGGGCTTCCTTCCTTCCGGGGCCCAAGTCACTCTCTGGATAGAACTGAGTCCTCACAGATATCCCTCTTAATGAATTCCAGAGTGTGAAAGAGAAGCAAGAGAAGGGAAGAAAGAAAAAATGGGCAATAGGCTGTCGATTTCCCCAGTTTGATAATTCAGATGAATAAATCTCAGAAACACACATATGTATTAATGTACTTATGCTTTTTTAATACAGACAACTCCTCTGTATGTCATATTGCTTTGTTTCCTCACTAACTAGTTCATGTATGTTCAGTGGCACAAACCCAGGGAAATGAGCCATGAACACTGGCTGGTGAAAAAATATATATCTTGTGCTCACCTCGGCGGCACATATACTAAAACTGGAATGATACAGAGAAGATTAGCATGGCTCCTGAGCAAGGATGACATGAAAGTTCATGAAGCATTCCACATTTTTCAAAAAAAAATATATATATACCTTGATTTCTGCACTCATAAATATTCCCAAAGGGCATATTCTGATTCCAATAGCTCAAAAGTGACTAGAACCAATTTTTAAAAATAATGTATTGATATGCAAAGGTACTCCTGTGCATTTTATTACATCCCTGAAAGTAATTGCAGTGTCTATCATTCAAGTATGTGGATCATTAAATGTCTATATAATTTAGAGATGGTGATCTTCATATGAATTTTATGAAAGATTAATGGAAAGTAAGTCTTATTCAACTTGGGAAGAATGCTCTAACCATAAAGTTTCTGGAAAATAATTGTTATATTAATGATAAGAAAATTCAACCCATTAGCAAATTCAGCCACTTTGAATGACAAACTCCTGGGATCGAAAGCTGCTGCAGGGAGTAATTACTTATTGCATATCCCACATCTTACTTCACAACTGGTAACTCAACAGATTCAGCACAAACAGAAATAATTCAAAAGGAAGAATGAAAACACATGCTAGAAGCACAAAACACTGTAAGACACACAATAAAATAGTGTGTTGATTCTTATTATGTCCTCCTCAGATCTCTGCTTCCATGTAGGTGACTACTGAATACAGAACAGACTCTGACCAAACTGATGAAGTAAAATTTGCATTTGATTGCCCCCAACTGCTCCCCCATTAGATGCTCATTTATTGCTTTCTTCATGGATTCAAAGCTTGAAATCTAATCTCACCCATTTTTGAACACAAACTCTCAAGTTCTTTATTCCAATCAAAGCAAAAATGGTAGATAATATCTAAAAATCTCCCTCTCCTGGGGATACTTGAATTTTCATCCTGACTAAGATCCAGAGTGAAATGGAAGGAGGGCATTGCCGCCAAGGACCCTGAAGTTGCTCTGATCCAGCAAAGGTTTAAATAATCACTTTAAATACGAAAGCAAGAGCAAAGGAAGGGAGAATCTTTTGTTAGCCTATTACTTATTCTTTAACTGAGGGGAACAAAGAGAGATTTTACTCAAGGTCTACAATAAATATTTATTACCTTATCATGTATCATTGTGTAACAAATTGCCTTCAAACTTAGAAGTTTAAAGTGATTTATTATTTTTTCATGGTTCTGTGGTTGACTGGACACACGTGGGTGATTCTGTCCACAATAGGTCATTAACATGGCTGGTGACAGATGCTGACCGGCCACTAGGAGCCTAGGTGGGTTTGTTGACTAAAGAGCCTACACATGTCCCTCTCTGTGCCTTGGACTGCTTACAGCCAGATAGCTCGATTCTCCAAGCAGGGCCCCAAGAATGAGTATTTCCAAGACCCAGGAAGAAGTCGTAGTGCTTCCTATGACTTAGCCTCAGAAGTCACAGAATGTCACTTTTGCCACATTCTATCGGTCAAGTATCCCAGAAGCAAGGTTAGCTTTAGACTCTATATTTTGATGTTAGAGTGGCAAATGACATTGCAAGGAACATATCGGATGAGATATATTTATATATTATCTTAGGAATGTGCAATTTCCATTCTCTGGTTACTTTAAAAAAGTGGATTCTGTATTATAATGATGGGCCCATAGCTATTTCACTAGAAGCTATATTTTCCAGCTTTTTTCTTTTTAGAATCTTTAAACAAATTTGAGGTGTGGAGAAAAGTCATAACAATGACACAGAATTTCCTTGTGTCCCGCACCCTATTTCCCTTGATGTTAACAGTACGATTATCAAGAGCAGGGAACTAACACTGGTACAATATTGACTCAGCTACAGATCTACATAGTTCAAATGCACCACATTTCCCTACAACGTTCTACTTTCACTCTAGAATCCTAGAAAAGATTTTATGTTGCACTGAGTGACTTCTCCTTAGTCTCTTTAGTCTTTCTTGGCCTTGCTATTTTTAAAGAGCACTGATCAGTTATAAGTGATCCAGCTTTTTTTCTTTTGTTTTAAAGGTGCCTATACCACGAGATCAAGTTCAACTCCAGGAATGTGAGTGGAAGAGATATGTGCACCTTCCATTCTTAAATGTGGATCCTGCTTGCCTGCCACAGACTTCTCTGACCCTGTTTCCACAAGCCTGGAAATGGTGAGGATCAGAGTGAGCACAGAATCCCCATGTGGGTGACAGAAGAATGTACCTGTCAGCCCTGAGCTTTGTGTCCTGGAGTTATTCCATGAACAAAAAAATCTATTTTAATGGAGTCATTGTATTTTTGGGTCTCACCATTATAGCAGCTTGTGCCAACTGGAGATATTATTCCCTCATCTCCCTGGAGTGAGTACACTAATCAAGTGGCTACTAATCTAATTTCTGCTTGAATCAACTAAGATAGGAGACAGTGACATAGTGTATAATAGAATACATTGCTGAATTATTAAGAAAATTACATATATATTTACTCTTACAAAATCTGTGAACCTGCTATATCATTAATCATCTTTCCCTTTTTCACCTATAATAAATAACTTCAACGGTTTTCTCAAGGGGTATAGGTGAGTGTGGTTTGGGCAAGCAGCGAGAGAAAGGAGATAATAAATGGGAATTACTATTTTAATAATTCTTAAGTATTCTATAATCTCAAAAATGTGATTTTGTAAACAGAAACAATAGCACTTTGAAGGCAAAGTGCACTTTGAAGGCAAAGTGCTATTGTTTCTGTTTACAAAATTTTTGAAACAAATTCTGCTTATATATTTTTTGCTACAAGTTACAATTTTCTTCAATAAAGCTAAAACACAATATTCAGGAGTGGGAAAAAGTAGGTTTACAGTTGTTCGAATGAAAAGAAGACAAATAATACAATAATCAATCAATCAATAAGAATAGACTGTTTTGTGTACTTACCTCATTTGCCCACCCCGTATATACTTGACTTGCTGAAATTTCACCTGTACTTTAATTTTTCCACATGCAACTTTTAATCTAGTCTGTCATGGGTACTAGAAGGAGAAGAATTTTCTCAATTCCATTGTTAATTCAGAACAAGAATAATCTGTTTATTGTGTAACTGCAAATGGAGGCCGTGTAGTTGTCCAGCAAAGAAATTAGCGATGCCACCTCTCCTCGGTTTAGAAACCAGTCTAAACTCTAACTTAGGTCATGAGAGAAATACTTCATTTCCACATTAGAATTTTGTGAAAGGGGAATTTTAAGAGAACTGCTTTATTTCTTTGGCTACTGAGTACTACACATAATGAATTAACAAGGAAAGATAATTGTATGTATTTCATTCTGTGCCTGTCTATACCTACTCTAACTTTTCAACCCCAAACATAATTATCTATCCATCCCATAAATTACATATATAATGCCTTTGGCCAAAACATGTAATTTAGCCTGGCCAGATTAGAGAGCTAGGGCAGAATGCTCAGCCGCAGGCGAGGGCTCGGGAAGTCACGCAGCAGTGGCAGGGGTCCCAGGGAGACTGAGAAACCGAGACTGTATTTTTGTGACCAAACCATCATCTTCTCTCACCTTCCCCCTCCCAGCACTATCTAAGTCTGGGATACTTTCATTCTATCCTGTTATCATGGCTTTACTTTGTCTCACTGAAGGTTTTAAAGTTGTGTTATTGTGGTATAACTGACATACAAAGAACTACACACATGTAACACCTACAACTTGGTGAATCTTGACACGCGCAAACACTCATGATACCATCACTGCAATCACACTGACATGCCGAACACCTCCCAAAGTTTCCTCAGGATCCTTTTTCTTTTTTTAATAGTCGACTAACTCAACATTAGTTCTACCACAATGAGATACCACTTTACACCAGTCAGGATGGCTATCATAAACAAAGCAATAAACAACAAATGTTGGAGAGGTTGTAGGGAAAAGGGGTCCTTAGTTCACTGTTGGTGGGATTGCAGACTGGTACAACCATTATGGAAAACAGTATGGAATTTTCTCAGAAAAATAAAAATCGACCTGCCTTTTGACCCAGCAATTCCACTGCTAGGATTATATCCCAAGAATCCTAAAACATCAATTTCAAAGAACCTATGCACCACAATGTTCACAGCAGCACAACTTACAATAGCCAAGAGTTGGAAGCAACCTAGGTGCCCATCAGTAAATGAATGGATCAAAAAATTGTGGTGCATATACACAATGGAATTCTATGCAGCAGAGAGAAAGAAGGAGCTACTACCCTTTGCAACAACATGGATGGAACTGGAAAGCATTATGCTGAGTGAAATAGGCCAGGCATTGAAGGACAAATACCATATGATCTCACCTTTGACAGGAAGCTAAACAACAAAACAAACAAACAAACAGAATAAAAACAAAGACACTGAAATAGAGAACAAGTGGGCAGCGAGCAGAGGGGAGAGGGAAGGGAATTTAAGGGGAAAAATGGGGAGGGATTTTGAGGAACAAGTATGAAAGACACAGGGATGAGGACGGGGGGGGGGATGGGAGGGAGGTGGGGAGACGGGGCAGGGGGGCTGGGATGGGAGAAATAGACAAAAAACTGTACTTGAAAAATAACTAAATAAAATTTTTAAAAAAAGAAACAAAATTCAAAGTATATGCTACAGTGAAGTCTATTCTCTAATACTTTTGCCACGAAGGGATATTGTATTTTCCTTGGGACTCAATGTTACGGGCTACGTGCTTTCCCTTGAGGAATGAATAGACACTGACCCACGGTTTCCTGGCTTTCATAGGTGCTACGGAGAAATACCGACCTAGCATTTTAAATCACTAAACTCCTCAAATACACTGAACTTTGAGAAATTCTAGGTCAGGACCCACGCTGTTTCCAGAAATAGAGTTGGGAGCAAGTATGACACAGAACAACTGGTCTCAGGTCTTTCTGGTGCAGATACCAGAGTCCGTAGATTGTTAGATCGCTGAATAAAGGAAGACTGGGGGCATTCCTCTACTTTTTCCCCAGTGTCCATATGCCTTGGGTACAATTTGTGTTAGTTTAATTCTAGACAAAATATTGTCAAAGGCTTATCCTCAAATTCCTAAACTTATTTTTCCTAAAGTGAA